CGAAACAGCAGGTCTGTATCAAATCCGGTAACCCATGCAAAGGTCCGTGCATGTTCCGCACGGAGGAGGCGGCGCCACTGGTCTGCTATCGCGCGTGTGGCACCTGCATTCCATGGATTAGACTCATCCCAGTTTAGGCACTTCGGGTTGTCCGACTACTGTCTCCAGTACTGGCTTTCACATTTGATTTTCACATTTGATTTTCACACCAGATTTCACATCTAGGCGGTGCAAAATACGGCTGGCATGATTCGCACAATATTCGTAAATGTTAAGGTGATACCACGTCATAAGGCATCACAGCATCTTGCAACACCACTCATTTCCTTACAAGATGCTAGATATCGGGCGTGTTGACACAGGAACCTGATAGGTGGCGTGTATTTGTCGCTTGTGACCCCTACATGCACACCAATGTTGAGCATTCCATGTCTCCCGTCAGAATGTATCCCAGAGGTCCATCCTCTCGCCCCTTCCACGTTTGGGTTCACAGGTTGAGGAGGGCCTCTTGCACAGACGTTTGACATGTCAATATGGACGCATAAGTGAGGCTCGCAAGATACATAGAAGTACCCCACTCAGGTGGGAATTGATTTGACCCCAACGATAAACGAAAAATAGGGCGCGGCGCAACGACGTCAAACTTTGAAGTTATAGACATCTAAAGGTCGATGTTGTAGTCCTGGAAATTATATTGATCTTCCAAGGTCACTGGCCTGCGGTGAGCACCAAAGTGAGGTCATGTTTGCCAGGAAACGCATTTATTTCAGGAGGAGGTAGGACAACAAGGATGACATTTTGTAGTATTATGTGGCATGAGGGGCTGAATGGTTATTTTGTGCAATATCTTGTGAATAAATTGCCGTTTTGCCGCTTAAAAGAAGCCGCGCGCTTTATCTATCAATCATGCTTCAAAATTATCGATCATTAGTAGTTTTTGCAACATTTTGAACCTCTACTACCAAGTTTGCATAGCGCCGAAAGCGAGTACGGAGGCAGGTATCCCCCCTCCCCCCCCCCCCCAGCATGTACGTACCCTGTTGGCGATTGCGCTACATGTGAAGTATCAATATGAAACTAAGCCAAGTACCGCATAATCAACCCCTACAACGACTGCTGAAATCATGCAGACTGAAGGTCGCTTCTCACCACCGGAACCGGCTTCATGCTAAAGTCGGCCTGACACGCGCTACTAAGCTTCCCGCATCACCAGTTACCGTCACCTTGTAACCGAGTGACTAAACCAAACAGGGCGTCACCAGAGCTCGGATACCGTCCCGTTTGGCGGACGTTTTGGCGGTGGATTCATGAGTCTGCCACATTCTGGCCCAAGGCCAGTCGGCAGCTGGCGGCGTGGGCACGCGCGGCGCAGCCCAGCGGCCTCGAACCGGCGGTCGGCGAGAGCAGCCCCCCACGGACGTGGCCCGGCTGTACCGGCGGCCACGTCAGACCGTCGCGACCCTGAACAACGCCCGGCCGCCGGGCGAGCAGGCGTGACGACACGCGACTGCAGCCAGCGCCAGCAACGGGGAACCGGCCGCACACGGCACGAACACCTGTCGTGATAGGGTCCTCAGAGGGGGCCCAGGGTTGTCGTGGGAGGGTGGGGGGTAGAGGTAAATGTTGCAGGCGTTTGCTGCACCACTAATCCCCTCCACTTTTCTACCTGGATTCGGCCACTTCTATTTTTAGTCTAATCCCACCCATGTTCCAAATGATTAAATGATGGAGCAAACCTTTCATCAGCTATAAGTGCCACATTTTTCTTTTCCACTTGGGAGATGCGAAATACCAGCTTAACACGCACCCAGATAGCCGGTTGAATGCGGCGCGTTCGGATGGGGGCGGAGCGGAGGTTGAAGTGGGGTCAATTTGAACTCCTGAGCTCAAATATGTCAGGCATTGAAAATGATGTGAGCTCGATGATGTACAATTTTAGACATCTACGTCGTGACCTTTGGGTTAAAAAAGCTCACGCAAGATTAAACTCGACATCAGTGGCTGAATATATCAGCCCTTCTCACGTAGTACGCTTTAAACGGGATACATTTTTGGGAGCAAACGGTCATTCAGGGCCCGTAACCTACTCTGGCCTTTATATTCTCGAAATTGCACAACCCTGTGAGATCATTATGATACCTGATAAATATGCATATATATATATATATATATATATATATATATATATATATATATATATATATATATATATATGTATATACACATCCATAATAAGTGTTAATAATTATTCCAGCAAGCCAAGTTTCTCAGCACAAAATGTTCATCATGATCGTACTAAGGCGGTGAGAAATTGACCAACAAATACGTGAACGAAGAGTTATCAACGTTTTTGCGGTCATAGTATTTGAAATGAACCAGAAAAATTTATCCATGCAACAGGTTTATCAGCCATGTTTTTTTCCTCCATGTTTCGATATTTTCTGATACATTCACGTGTCATTAGAAGAAGCACACTATTCCACTTCATAAGAAGAATAGCAATCCACCATCTAAGCACGCGTTAGACTGTGATGCCGCACAAGCAGTGCCAATATTCCACTGCAGTGATAACTTGTCAACTTTGCGGCCCAAGTGTGCAGGGCAGCTGGTAGAGCGTTCACAGACGTGATCTGAGCTTGAGCCTGGCCACGGGCCCGGTGTTTCGTCAGCCTAACAACAACCGACCTGAGGCAGATGACGACGCCAACTAACCAGAAAAGTGCAATGTTATAGAGGAAACGCATACCGCCGTCGAGCCGGCGTTCGCCGACGTCGCCGTGTTCGGCGCAGTGTCTGCAGCGGAGTGGGGTCGCAAGTCGCGGAGCTGTGCCACGGCCAGGCCGCGATTGGTGCCTGTCTGTGATCAGTGACAGAGGTGTTTGTCTCTCTGGCGCTCCACCGGCCGTGAAGGGGGGGGGGGGGGGCACCTCTGCGACAGCGTCCGAGCGTCGCGGCCAGTGGCCGGTGTGCGTGGGGGCCGGCGGCGCGGCACCGACCCAGCCTGCAGCGGCCGATCCTGCAGACTCCGGTCCCCCCCCCCCCCCTCCCACCTTCCCCCTCTCCGTGCTGCACGGATAGTCTGTGCACGCGTGTAGAGTGGAATAAGGAGTCTCGGGCCGGCTGTAGGCCGGATCGACAGGCATGACGGAGGTCGGAGCTGTGGATCAGTATGCTTGGGCAAGAGGACAGCGGGACTTTTGACGAGTTTCATGAAACGAAGCAACATCTTCGGCGAAGTTAAGATCTCTCTGTGTGAGCACGCGAGGCCTTACAAATTATGCCGTTTGAGTCAGTCATGAGGGGAACGATCAAACAACGATCTCTTGCTTTACCCCAGGCGTCACAATAGATGATTTGTCCTGCGATTGCTGTCCATTTCATCATGTGAGGATATGGAAATGATCCATGAAAGGATGCTTGGAAGGAAACTGGGAAGCTCCAAAGGCATCTGGTAAAGCAGAAGCAATGTTAAATAGTTTGCTGTCATGTCCGTGAAATGTTGCTTTAGCATTTACGCCGATAACCGCGTAGGTTGTCGTACACTGTTATCCGCTATGGAACACAGCAGCCTGCCATTCTTTCACTTACAGGTGCTTCACCAGTGTCTAACATATTCAAGCCCATCCGAGCGAATGGGCTCACATATGTGGCAGATAAATATCAGAGGATTTGTGCTTAGACTTGCCGTCCGTCACATAAGACATAGGACGTTTTGCATGCCTGCAAAATGCGGGTAAAAAACAGACGTGGGAGAGTAAGGCACCTTACAAGTATCTCTGGTAGTCAGCCCGCTATTGGAAAACCTATTTCTCTTAAGTGACGTACTCACAATATCTTATACCACTAGATCGGCAAAACCTATACTTAATTACTAGCAGACGTGTGCAAATGGAAAGAGGGGCATCAGCTGTAAAATGGTGTAGACTCGCAGGCAACTGGACAAACGAAGGTAAACCAGACGAGTTACGGGCACCCCGACCCGACGGTTCTTGTTTGTGAAGCGCACGCGTTGATCAGTCGAAATCAACGCTTCATTTGCTTATGTCGTAAATGTTATCGTTAAACCATACCCCGTCCGCTTATACATGTGGGTTTAGTTTACTGCGATGCATAATGCCCCTCCTCGCCGACTGCACACGCTGGGTTTAGCTGTTTCTGATGTAGGCATATGAGATATCTATGGACGCATCCATCCCAAATTGATGCCACTTGACTTATCCAGTCGTGAAACCTCAGACATACGTAATTGCAAAGCAGTTTAAGCAGCAGCAGGTGGTCATGGCTCTTCGCCAGTGCGGTGGAGCATTGACGTCATCTATTTGTTAAGCCAGTTGTCATGTAAACAGATGAACAAACTGGCATGCTCAGATTTGGGGCTTTGGCATTTCGCTCCATATTATAAAAACTTTTCTCGATCGCAGATTATAATGCCTACGTACATCAATGCTAATGTCACACAAATTTTAAAGGCCGTCATCAGAAGGTTCCTTTTACAATACGGGAGACAGGTGTGTGGACAGGGGGGGGGGGGGCATGTCCAGTGAGCTGAAACTACAATTTCCCCATTATTAGATCCCATCTGGATCCATTCCGTTCCCGGATGCGACCGGAGACTCCATTGCGTTGACACCCAGCTGACGACAGTTCCGCGGTGTTCAGACTCGGTTCGCCACAGGGCCCAAAAGGGTCCAGAGCCGGTTTACTACAGAGTTCAGTAGTGTTCAGACTCGGTTAACCACAGGGCCCAAAAGGGTCCAGATCCGGTTTACTACAGAGTTCAGTAGTGTTCAGACTTAATTGTCACAGAGTTCACGCAGAAGCGCTAGCGACCATGATCAGCGTTGATGGGTGCCGCCAGACCGGTGATGATGACTGGACCGGTCCCATAGTGAGCGGCGTCGAGAGGTCAGAGGAGTGCACCACGGGCTGCGTCGCGCTGTACCGGCCTGCTCCGCACCGGCCCGCTCCGCACCGGCCCGCTCGACCCTGCCGTCGCTCCATCACACCAGCGCCCACTTCACCAACTCATTCTGCGAAAGCAGGTCGCGCAAAGTGGCGCCAACCCCGGGGTCACCACCCGTGATTGGCGGGAAGTCCTCATACGCCGCGGTCGGCGAAAGCACGCGAGTGGGCCCGGCGTGGCCCGGCGTGTTCCAGCCCGGCCCGACATTGTCCGGCCTGGCCCGACATGGCCCAGTCCGGTGCGACATGGCCCAGCCCGACCCGACATGGTCCGGCTCGGCTCGACATGGCCCAGTCCGGTGCGACGACATGGCCCAGCCCGGCCCGACATGGACCAGTCTGGTCCTGGGCGGACAACACGGGCGGGCGCCGCCCCGTGACGGGGTATGGCGACTTAAGTCTACTGTCAGTGTGTCAGAGGCTACCAACAGGCATGTGGTCCACTTATCTACCACATGCCTAAAGCAGCATTCCTCTTGTTAAAAAGGAGTGTCAGTTTCTAAAGTCAGGCCGGCTCGTTGCTTCGTGGGGGGAGCGGGGGGGGGGAAGCGACAGACGTTCCGAAGGTAATATTGATAACTTTGAGCTGTTTTGAGCTTCCGTCGAGTTTTAAGCAGCTGCGATCCGGGCAAGTCTGTATCAACAGCGGGCCCTGCCCCTTGACGTCCCGGGGTCGCCGCTACTGCCGGGATGGGGTGACGCGGATGGTGGGAGCAGCCGGCTGCGCGGCCGTGGCTGAGCGGCGGGGTCAGTGGCGGACAGCGCCGCCTGGGAACCGTGAGGTGACGTACCATGGCGCCGAGGTCAGCCCAGCTGGCGCAGTTGGCACCGACCGCGCGCCACGGCAGAAGCTGTCAAACAGGATGCAGCCGCTTCAAATGGGCTTGGCGCCGTTACTGGCTGGCGTATGGGTGTAAGGGTGGGGAAAAAGTCACTCACTACTGGAAAGCACAGCGTGCTTTTCCCAATTTCCAGTGCTGGAAAACATAGCGCTCAAACCTAGCCGAACTTCCCAACTGATTACACACCCGCGCGTTATGCTCTTTCATTAAGATGCTCGCCGCAATTCATTTGAACAAAAATTCACCAGTCGCTCATGACATGAAACAGGCCGCTCTTCCTATGATACAAATCGTGGCTAATTTTACAGTTTGCGTGTCAGTTGGCTGATCCATCACCATCGCCAGCTTGTAATGGCGTAGCGATCACACACTGAATCACCATCTATTTGGCTCAGATCGTACACATGTCGCGCCGGCGCATATGTACCTCGTTTTTAAACGGCATTTAGTGCAAGATGTATTAAGAAATAGTGGTAGAAGCTAAATGACACCAGCGCTTTTCTGGACATTGCCATACCCTCAGGAAATAACGTTCTTAAAAAACCGCGGGTGAAGCCCCTGCATTCCCCCGGCAGGATCACCACACGCCATTCTGTCTATCGCTAAGATGCCACCACGGTTTGCTTATTTATAGCGTCAAACGTGTGAAAATAAGACTATTAGATAGAATACGACTAAAACGCAACGTTATAGAACAAAACCATTGTGGATATGAAGCACGTAACTTGGTATTCACTTGAACATAACGTCAAGTGGTTCTTGCTGTAGTATTGGACAAGAACCTTGATGAAGTATTCGTTTCCTCCGACAAGGATACAAACTGCCTATACCCCGATGCTAAAGATTACCACGGTAGTAGGTGTCCCGAGTAGTGGTTTAGCTTTAATGGTTCTTAGATTTCTTTGCACTTAAACAATGCTTAAGAGGGCACTTCATTCCAGGGAGGAAACCCATGCAATACCTTTCAAGCCGAGGCAGACATGCTTCGGGAGCCGAAGCAGCGATGGCAAGCTCCGATCTCAGGATCCCATAAACATGGAATACTTTGAGATCCTAGATTCGCCCTTGAGATCCAAGCACAGGTTTGTTCCCAGGCATCATGCACATCTGATAGGGCTAAAGTTCAGTTTCGTTTCACAAAAAGGGAAACGAAACTGGGGTGATATATGTATTGCTATATGTACTGTTAGTAGAGAGTATATCCTTAAGAGGGCAAATACCAGAGTAAATCATCCAGTAGTTAACTGAAACTGAGCATTTGCTTGTCAATTTACCGCCGGCTGGTCAAGTTTATTGAGTGCGGGCAGGATGCTGATGCAAAGAACGCCACTGTTAATATTTGAGACCCCAATGCATTGCTTTAAATTTAAAATACCACACCAGTCCAGTTGAGAAAAACATCTCACAATAAACGTAACGTCCGAGGACAGCATCACAAGATGAACTTGATTCAGTTGAGCATACTATTGCATTTTAAATCGGTCGGCTGGACACATTTTGGCGTGGCAGATAGCCCGGCCGAGAACAATGAACAGTCCGACTGAGAACAGCCGGAACAGTGCACGGTCCGACTGAGAACAGCCGGAACAGTGCACAGCCCGACTGAGAACAGCCGGCACAGTGCACAGTCCGACTGAGAACGGCCGAAACAGTGCACTGTCCGGCTAAGATCAGCCGGCACAGTGAACAGATCGGCTGAGAACAGCATTGCACAATTCACCACCAGCCAGAATCGGAAGTGTATCGTTCCAAAGTCATTGGGTGGTTCGCAATGAGAAATTGGGCCAAGTTTACCCGCCATCATTAGGATTTCGAAGGTGCAGAAAGATCCACCCATGGTCAGTGCACACAGCTCAGCCCAGCGCGGCAGCAGTGCACTATGCGTCCAGCAGCGGCTGAGCAGCAGTGCGGCATGAGCTCAGCAGCGGCTAAGCAGCGGCTGGGCAGTAGTGCAGCCGCCTTGGCCCGGTGCCGCACGCCGTGTGGACTTCCGCTCTGCCGCCGGGAAAATGGAGCGGAAGGCGCGCCGCCGACGCCGCCGCCGCCGCCGCCATCCGGCGAAAGTGCGTCGCACCACCAGCTGATTGGGACGCCAATGCTAATGCGGCGGGGTGAGGCAGGCGGCCGCTCTCGTGCCGGTCTGATCGGGCACGCCAGACCGCTGCGTGGCCTGCTCGGCTGGCCTGCTGGCCACCGGCGGATGAGCCGAGCAACCCTCGCCTGGGTCCGATCGGATGCCGGGCGGATCGGATGATCGGATGCATGCCGATCATCGGCGATCGGCGTACGTCCAGGCTCAGTTCGTCAGGGTCGAACCTCCACCATTTCGCCTACTCGGCCGACACCTTTGCCTTGGTGTGTTGACGTTGTGCATGGATTGGTGTTTACCAGAAGCATGGGGGAGGGGGGGGGGGGGTAGTGCAGCCCGTTCACTAGATCGATGCCGCTGCAGGCCGTCCTGCAGGCGCCCGGCCCCTGGCAGCTAACGGGCGTTTCCATCACAAAGTACCGGACGCATTTCGCAAAAAGGAATGCGGGTGACACGTGCCAGACTGACACGCTCCACACATCCGGTGTTGTGTCAAATCGCATCTGCTTAATTCCTGATTAGTGGGTTGAAGCTTACTTCAAAAGCGGAGGTCACGCGGCCATTCCATGCCATGTTCGCCGCCTGGCGCCTCTAAGGGCCCCCTGGCGGCGTGGCGGCCTCGCTCGCCGCCGGTTCGGGAGCTTGGAGCGTGCCGACGGCGCGGCTTCGGCGGCGTCCGGCGGCGCGGCGTCAGTACACGGCCGCCGCCCGGCACGCCAGCAAAAACACAATGCTGTGGCGGGCGGCCACGTCCGGTTTGTCGGTGGCCGCTCGAGTCGGGCCAGGGCTCCGCAGCGACTGCCGTTAGATCTCACCGGCTCCCGCTGCGTTGGTTCCCATCTTGCGCCTGCGTGAAAGGAACCGTTCGTGGCCGTAGAATGCGCTTGTTATTTCACTCCGTAAAATACTGCCGAATTTTGGTGATAGGGGACTACGAGCTAGACACGCACGGACTCAGCGGAAATGCGATACACGCCGACGGGCTGTGTGCCCGGTCTGGCTGCCCTTCGGGCGGCTCCTGTACCACGAGGCGGAGCACCAGCCAGTGAACGCTTACGTTCTTACATCGACGCAAATTCACCCAATTAACGGAAGCATGTCCTGGGTTTTTATGCTGGAGGCCAATTCTTTCCAGCCTGTATTATCTCATCGCGTGATAGCAGCTGACAGCCAGGAAATGAAATTATCGCCGCACTCTAGGCGTACGTTGTTGATGTCCGTTCGTCGAGCGGCGTGCACCCGTCTGGCGGGAGAGGCGACGGGACAGTGATCACAGCAGCCTCCCTGTCGGTATCGGCACCTCCTGAGCCGTCCCGTCAGCCCAGACGGCTTTGCCGTCAGGACCGCCCGGGGCTGAGGTTCGCAGCTGGGACTGTCGGGTGGTCCCGCACGGCTCGGAGCTGACCTCTGTTGTAGGGGCTGAGGTTCGCAGCTGGGACTGTCGGATGGTCCCGCACGGCTCGGAGCTGACCTCTGTTGTAGGGGCTGAGGTTCGCAGCTGGGACTGTCGGATGGTCCCGCACGGCTCGGAGCTGACCTCTGTTGTAGGGGCTGAGGTTCGCGGCTGGGACTGTCGGATGGTCCCCGCACGGCTCGGAGCTGACCTCTGTTGTAGGGGCTGAGGTTCGCAGCTGGGACTGTCGGATGGTCCCGCACGGCTCGGAGCTGACCTCTGTTGTAGGGGCTGAGGTTCGCAGCTGGGACTGTCGGATGGTCCCGCACGGCCCGAAGCTGACCTCTGTTGTAGGGGCTGAGGTTCGCAGTTGGGATTGACGGATGGTCCCAACGGCACGGGGCTAACCTCCGCCGCCGGGGCTGAGGTTCGCAGGTGGGATTGTCACGCAGCTCTGCTCTGTCGCCCGGTGCCGTCCGTGCCTGAGAGTTGCCGGTGGAAGCCCCGGCCGGCCGGTCGTGTCGCGGTGTAGTCCGCGGCTGAGTGTTGCCGGTGGAACCCCCGGCAGGCCGGGCGTGTCACGGTGTCGTCCGCGGCTGAGTGTTGCCGGTGGAACCCCCGGCAGGCCGGGTGTGTCACGGTGCCGTCCGCGGCTGAGAGTCGCCGGCGGACCCCGGCAGGCCGGGCGTGTCACGGTGCCGTCCGCGGCTGAGAGTTGCCGGCGGACCCCGGCAGGCCGGGCGTGTCACGGTGCCGTCCGCGGCTGAGAGTTGCCGGTGGAACCCCCGGCCGGCCGGGCGTCGGTGCCGTCCGCGGCTGAAAGTCGCCGGCGGACCCCGGCAGGCCGGGCGTGTCACGGTGCCGTCCGCGGCTGAGAGTTGCCGGTGGAACCCCCGGCAGGCCGGGCGTGTCGCGGTGCCGTCCGCGGCTGAGAGTCGCCGGCGGACCCCGGCAGGCCGGGCGTGTCGCGGTGCCGTCCGCGGCTGAGAGTCGCCGGCGGACCCCGGCAGGCCGGGCGTGTCGCGGTGCCGTCCGCGGCTGAGAGTTGCCGGTGGACCCCCCGGCAGGCCGGGCGTCGGTACCGTCCGCGGCTGAGAGTCGCCGGTGGGCCCCGGCCGGCCTGGCGTCGGTACCGTCCGCGGCTGAGAGTCGCCGGTGGACCCCCGGCAGGCCGGGCGTGTCGCGGTGCCGTCCGCGGTCGGTCAGTAGTCCGCGCCGCCGGCCGAGTACGCCGCCGTGACGCCGCTGATGCAACGCCGCGGGTTTCACATCGGCACCATTCACCGACGGTCACTCATGAAAAGGTCGCCCGTTCGGCCGACACCGGCGACTGACAGCGGCCCCTGACCTGAGCCTGGGGGTACACAGAGCGGGCCAGCTGCGCCGCCGGCCGGTCGGCAGCTCTTCCGGGCCCGTCCCTGCCGCGGGTCAAGGATCAGTCCAAGGATGGCGCGCGCCGCAGCCGGGCGTGCCGGGAGTGACGTGCGGGCACGGCCTCCACACGGACACCCGGTGGGAAGGGGCGAGACCCCGCTGAGCCGGTGTGGAGCTCCGCACCCACCAGGTGACAGAGACAGCCGGGGAGCAGAGCTGTGCTCGGGTGTAAAGCACGATCCGAATATTTCGGCCCTTCCGGCTACAGCCGGCGTGAAGCAGTTCGAAATCAATTCAGGCAGAGGAGTGTCAGAGGTCGTAAAATAATTTACAGAATGTTATTAATGATAATGCCGGGCGCACCGCGTTAAAATGCGCATAAACAGTTGTATGGCTGGCACTGCGTATGGGGTGGCATGGAAAGCCTGACATATGGAATGTTGGCGTAGAAAGCTTCCATCAACCATAAGATGCACTTATTAGTTTCTAAGCAATTCGCTCTGCAAGGTTTCCACTAAAATTAACTTAACGACACCGTGTGTAATACATGGTGAAAGGTATAAGTTTTTCGATGCCTTATTGATGATAACACGTTAATTGTCTGCTACTGATCTGATCGTGTCTGACCTTATTGGATCGGCCTGGGCTATACAATCAGCTGAAAGATATATTGGCAGCCATCCCATTGTGCACAGCAGGCCACACTGCAAATCAGAAGATTAAATTGGTGTTAAGCTGAAATAGATAGATACCCCTGTGAAGTAGAAGTATTACAGGGAGCGTCATTGGCAAGATATAACAGGCGCCTCCAGATTGGCATGCCTCTTATATAGCTGTGGGTTTTCCACACCAACTTCTTGGACGCGCTACCAGACCAAACCAACTTAAAGCAAGCTTTGCCGGTGATTCACAGCCGGCCACGCGGTAAGCATGCTGGCATATCCGCGTGGCGTAAGATCTGCACAAACGACACGCATTCTCAGCTTAGCGTGGTCCCAGCTTCACGACATGCTTGCAACGACCCACGCGACGCCTGCCGGACAACGCTGCCCAAATGAATGATTAATGCGGTTGACGTGAGCCAAAGCTAAGCCAATGGCGACGGCATGACGAAGGCCAACGGCCAGCTCGCTACACTTGCAACGGCCATAAATATGATAATGCGGGTACCTGGGTCAGCAAACGTTGCGCGGTGCGAAGATGCGAAACCAGCCTGTTCGGATCACCAGCTGCCCGTGTTTTATCCTGGGACCGGTTTGTGTTGGCGCGTATCGGTAGATCTGGTGTCCTTTGCAAAATTACTTTTACAAACATAACAACAATGAGGTGCATGATTGTGAACCCACGCTGTCAACACATTAATTGAACTGCGCAGATTGGTGAAGCACCTGGTTCAATTTTACAGCTGCTTGACCGCAGTTACATTCAACACCCGCTATGACAGCGCTTTTCAAGCCTTCCTATCCTGAAACGCAATGAACTCACCTGAAATGAGTGCTTTAGGGAAAAACTCAAACCTAGCAGCCGTTTATGCTACGAAAAGACGAGCAGCGCCTACCTTATCCTTGTCCTTTTCCTTCTTCCCGCCGAAAATGTTGGAGAACACTTTCTTCATGTCACAGGGCGTCGCGTGACCACTGCTCACGACACCGATGCGGACACGGACGGCGGCACTGCAAGGACACGGACGCCGAGCCGGCCGCGCACCCTGTGCCGGACACGATCACAGAGCCGGCGCACGGACGCTGAACAGGCGCGGCCCCGCACTGCCAGCTCGCTGCTTCACCTGGCGCCGGCCGGTCCGGCCCGGTCCGGCCCGAGCCGCGGCGGCCGCTGCCACCAGGGCGCGCCACCGCCGCGCCGACCTGGCGCACCTCTGCCGATCGTCCGGACCCGGGTCGGACTGAGGCGTCCGTCCGGTCCGGGCCCGAGACAGGGCATGCCCTCTGACCTCGGACCCGCAGGCGCCATAAAGCTACAGCACGCATTAGAGACCTTCAACTACGCATCCATGGTTCTCTGGATTTCTGGTGGCTTGGAAGAGCGATGTGTGTCGCGCCGTTATAGTGTCACACCTGCAGTCGAGGCACCCACTCTCTGCCGTCCTCCCATTGGGAGCTACGGCCAAACAGGAACTCACGTCCAGTGAAGATGCTCGGCAAACACCCGCGATGGGACCGAGCCGATCTGCACCTGCAAAACCACGCCGTCCTCCAGCCAAATACTATCCACTCGACCGCAAAAAACGGCGAGTCTCGCATCGGAAGTCACTAGCAGCCGCGGCAGCCGGTTTGCTGTGGCCAGCCCGGCCCGGTGCCCGGCGAGGCGCGGAAGCGCTCGGCCTGCTGCCGCCGCCCGCCGGGAGCCGGGAGCCGCCTGCCGGGAGCCGGGCTGGCCCGTGAGTCAGCGGCCCTGGCGCCCGCCCCCGCCCTCCATACACGGCCGGGCCGGCCCCGACCCGGCCGGGCGCGCCTGATGGACACGCCGTGTCAGCAGACTCAGGGCCGGTGGCGGGCGGTGACGGCGACACGAAGGGCGGACCCTCCGGTGCCACCCAAGCGCGACCACGTCCGCCCCGACGGGCGCGCGGGTGGAGACTCCAGTATCGCCATCACAACTCGCCCACATACCATCGAGACGCGCTGGAATAACGTGCAGCCTCAACAGTGCGACTACGTGGTCGGGCAATCATACTGCATACAACGAGACCGAGCGGAGATGCGTGCAGGCTTCGGTGGGAAAGTGAAGCGAGCACACCACGCGAGTATCGCTGGGTGGCGGTGAAATAAGAGCTAAAGTGGTGATGGCGAGAGACAAATGGCGTCGTGTTGGCGCGAGGATGGGCGGAATCGTGCCCCGCGCTCCAGTCACCGCACCGCCGGGCTACAGATCGGGCCCAGCGAAGGCCCGACGTACCCGCAACCCAACGGGATCTGCTCCGAATGCAGGCATTATTCCGATAGTCGGCTACAAACGGCGCCATTAGAAAACAGTTCAACAGCGCATGCTGCACGATGTGTGCGCCCAGCCATGTGCGCGTTGGGAAACAGCGTTCGCGGCGGATTTGGAGCTGTGGAACGGCGGGGCTGAGCCCAACTTTGAACTAGGTCGTTCGTGTCGCCGTAAAACACACCGGGGCGTGCGTAGTTACGCCCGCGCTGTCGGTGTTGGGCCATTCCAAACACTAGATGGCGCCAGGACCTCGTCCCCCGAGCAGGGGCATCTCCTGTCATGACAGGCACAATGGAGCTGCGAGCGGGGTCATTTTTCAGTCGTTTGTTTTCGTCTGGGCGATATAGATCAACGCCGGGTGAACGCCCAGGAACACAAGGCGTCCCTCCTCCGTAAACGAAGCCCTCGCGGCGTGACAGACGTGCTGACGCTCGGGCAGGACAGTTTGAGGTCGCCGGTGCCGAGCTCTGGCGGCTTGCTAGGCCGAGCAAGCGGTGTTGAAGGCGAAACCATGGGCAAAGGAACGCCTCAGTGGGTCGAATGATAATGTTGTCAGTTTTGTAATGCACGGGCACAGTGCTTAACCTAAATATCCTTCAACTGTGAGGCGTCACGTCCCCCTGGCCGCCTGTTTCCACGCCATATCGGTACAGCGCTGGACAGCGTTCTGTGAGACAGCGAAAGTTAAATCGATTCACCAGCTTCATTTGCGTGCATACATAATGGTTTAGGTGTACCACAACACCCGAATCAATTCGCTCCACTTCACTTGGTAACTTCACTCATTGACTTGAGTGAGTGAAGTGAGCGAACTAACGCTGTCAATACATGCGACAATCGAATCTGATTTGACGTCTGATTTCTTTGTTCGCTACCTCGTGTGAATGAAATCTGTAAATTTCATACAATCAAACTGTTCGTTATCGGGCTCAACGAAATTGTTTTGGTGCTTTGGCCATGCGAATGCCCGCGAAACCTAGTCGTTTTGTTGACCACCATGTAATATTGTCCATTCATTTCAATATTCTTTGAACACAGACTACAAATATCAAAAGCTTACGATCGATGCCCGGGATACCAATTTATCCATTAGCACGCGCCAGGGTGGGCGTCAGTTTAACTCCTGAAGGTTTGTAAATGGTACTTTTCGAAAGGCCTGGTGTATCCGCGCCAAAATATGCATAGCTGTAGGAAACTGAATAATGCATGGTTTGATTTAAGAAATCAGATATGCCTTGTAAGGTCAATGACCTATGGCAGTTAGGGTGTCACTGAATGTAATTTCTAGAGAATAATTTAACCTGATGCGGCAACGGAGTGTACACGCAGCCATATATCTCTGAAATGTTTGCTTAAGCAATACGACGGTTGAATTTAGGAGCATAACCAATTTAATTGACATTTGTTCAGACATAGGTCGAAACCAACCTGATTTTTTACTCGAGAGCGCTTTGTATGGGGTTCCGTACGTCTGTGGATTCTGGTGCTCATCTGAGTTTATTGATAACAGGTACTGCAAGAGACATCTTCCATAAACTTCTTAAAGGTGGCACAAAAGCAAACTCCACAGGAATCTCGTAGACCTGTGGTTACCATGACCTTCTAAAGGCCAAGTTAGGTCACGGTCTTAAATTATCATCAATGACCTTTAGCTTAGAACAGTTATCTAGGTTCAAGGTGATGGTGTGAGTAGGTCCGGAGGTACTTGGACATATGATATTATTTTTTGGGCATGTATTAGGCAGCAAAACCTAAACCGACAGATGCCTTTTGTAACATGGCTTAGGCCCTGCGCCCTGATTGTGTAGAGTTATTGCTCGATACAGTAAATTTCGTACGAGAAAGTCGACGTGCTGAGAATCATTGCATTTAGACGCTGAAATATACAGGGAGATCACTCAGTACGTCTCATACGTCCCACGTTTGCTTTAATAGAGCAGTGAGGTTAAAGCGATTTGCCAGCAGAGCCATGAACTCTTGGATTTGAGGGTGACTTTAACAATGGTAGAAAAATGCAAATCAGGAAGAGTTCTAGCGTCAGCGTCAAAACAGATGCCTTTAGAGCTCCGCTTTCATTTGGATTAAATATGCCGAAGACCGCGGCATCCCTTATCAGGCTGATCCCGTGGAGCTGTTCGAGGGAACTCCACACAAAATCCGTGCCGAGGCGCGTGGCGCCGCTCCGAGCCTCCCTTAGACGTGTTGCCCTCGGGGGAGATCAACTAGAAATCGCCGCACAGTCGCTTGGCAACATCACAAATGCTTGCGGTGCTGTTTCGTAGATTTCAGTTCATGGATTGTGGCACGGTTATGTGTCATGCAGAAATTGTGGCATCAAATTTTAAGGAGGCTTGGGAGATGATAACGATGATATTTGGGTTTTCCGGACGCGTCAACTATAGCGGTTCATTTGCGCAGCCTGGGAGAGAAAATGAACAAGCTACAGACGGCAAGGGGGAGGAGGAGGGAGCATACAAACAGGGATGCAATGACAGAGTGGTTAGCACCTTCAGCTCCCACGCGGGCCCCACGTCCGTTCGGTTCGTCCGGGTTCGTCCGTTTGCCGGACTCCGCTCGCACCATGACTACTGAGCGTTAGCATGCTCTCTGCAGTTGCTGACGTCGCATCAAATGCTTCGCGCCGAACGATTTCTTTTTTGCAAAAAAGGATACACTCAAAGTCATAAACACAGATATATGTGTCAAACACTAATTCGATGCAACAGCCTCGACGGGGTGATATGCCAAAGCCGCGTAGAGCCATGATGGGTGCAAGTTAGCATTGCCCACTAAGTAGGTCGACCGACAGTCCTGCTTTTTCAGCCGTGGACTGATCAGGGCAGAGTGGCGGTGCGGCACCGCTTGTACTTCAAGGAGCCCTTGGCAAGCGCCAATCACGGATTAGTTTTGGGCTACCGAGCACAGTCTTGCCATAATTGGCGAGTTGGGAGGAGCTTTACGGGAGTAAATCCTCTTTGGATCGTAGAGCATCGCTGAACTGCTCTCCTCTGTGACTTGGATGCAGTTTCACAGCACACACCTGCAGCACAGCCTTCGCCAAGGCCGTATGCAAGGCCCCCCATTTACCAGCCCCAGAGCCGGTGAATACTCCGTGATAATGTGCTCCGAAACATCTGCACAGCCGTCCAGCCGTGCATGCAGCGCTTCACTGGAAGTGGCAAACTGTTCGCTTTTCCCAAAGGTCATCCGCTGGATTGACGCTGCGGTATGGGATCCGCGGCCACCAGGCCGTGGCATTTCAGGGCCGCATCCGCCTCCCCTATCCGTTTCGTGGTTATGGAGTACGGCGAATCGAGACGAGGGTTAAGTTCAGAGTGAAGAGAAGCGGAGGATCATGGGATGGATGTAAGGCATGCAGAGTCGGCTTATGCCGCCCAGGTTGCACTGCAAAGAGCACGTCCAAAGCCGGTCAAAGCTTGGTTGAAAAAGCGGTCATCCTATTCTAATGGGCCCATCGGTGCCCATGAGAGTCCGCCATTATCCGTCACCAGCGCCAGAGGGTAGAGTTCCGTCTCTCGCGCACTGCAGGTGACCGACCTGGGGCTCTGAAGAGGCGACCACGTTCCCATACAGGGTCTGCTCTGAGACGATGTCCTGCCCAGCTGTTACACCCGCACCTTCGGGCTGCTCGGTCGAGCCTCCGGTCTGAAACGGGCCGGTGTGACGTCAGAGGACCACTGTCCTCTAGATACAGCCTCTGTGCCGTGTTGGGATAAACGAACAAAGCGAAGTACACAACCATAGCCATTCGCTGTCAGCCAGACAAGTGGGCATTCGTGGCCGCTGGGAGGCACACGAATGATCGGGACTTAGACCAACGAAAAGGAAAATTGCAAACGAACGGATGAACCAGTAGGACAGAATCTAACGGATACCAGGGGTGAGCCCACATGGACCGAATCGAATGGACACACTGGTGGACTCGGACCTTAGAGGACGACCAATTGTGCACGAAAACGTGTCTCCTTTATACAATTGTGCAGTGAAAACGTCTGCGTGCAGCACCAGTGTGAAATTGGAGAGCTAATTACAGCGATGCAAATTTTGAAAGATGGGTGGGCCCCATTGGAATCGATTCCGGCTACTGGCATACATCGTGGTTACTCGATATTGAAATTGGCTAAAAAGTATACAACACTTTTCGTGAGTCAGAGGCACAAAACTGCACGTATTATACACCAATAGAACGCTGGTCGGCGATTTAACAGAAGTCAAAGCCGGGCTGGAAGCTGAGACGGGAGACGAGGTAGGAGCAGATGCGGCTGAGCCGACGTCGGGTACGGACCGGCTGCGTGGGCCAGCCACATGCATACACGTGCCTTGTCACTGTCACTCTCCAGCTCCAAGATGCGGAACTCCATCAGCTCGTTCTGGTCTCGCAGCTCCTGCAGCTCGTTCCTGGCGCTGGCCTCGGCCGCTCGCAGCTGCCGCAGCCGCCGCGAGAGCCACAGGTTTTGCGCGGTGAGCAGGCTCTTCTCGTGCAGGGTCGTCGGCTGGACCCCGCGTCGCAGCAGCGCCGCTTCCAGGTCCCGCACCAGCGTCTGCCGACCGACACATCCGGCTATAGGTGGCAGCACTGGACGAGGGATACGGGGCCGTGCTGCTGCTCCGGAGGTCCAACGTTCTTGCATGATGCGAGTAGAAAGAAGCGTCATGGCCATCGCTACAACACAAATCA